CTTTGACATCCTCCCACAACTCATCTGGTCTTCGCTCATTAGTGTTCAAGGCCTCAAACCTGTTCCTGAGATGATTCTGAAAAAATCGTGGGGAATTAAACAAGTACTACAATTCCCAGAATGCACTACTGCGCAACCCAGCGTGGGACGGTGCATGCTGGGACTCTTTCCCTTCCCTGGGATCCGGAAGAGCGAGTTTGAATGTGGCTCAGCCGGTTCCCAGGACTCCGGACCTGCTGGGGGCTTCTTTGTTTAACTGTGGGTCTCTGGTTACTGGAAGGATCGGTCTGAGCTGTCAGGCCAAGAGGTAGGAAACTTTGCTCTCTCACTGCTTTCTGGGCGGGTTGAAGGGTGACAGCGGCGGGACCCGCAGAAGAAGCAAGTGGCCAGCACTGTGTGAGCGGTCACTCTTGACCAGAACGATTGGGCTTCCCAAATCGTTATTCCCAGGCCTGGACCTTTGATTTAGCTATTTTCAAGGTTTAGTTCGGTGTTTTGAGGCGGGAGTTTGGGGTAAATGAAGCCTATTGCATTGATGCAGTTGGAGGTTCCTTACATCTCTCATTGACATCTAATCTAAATGTTTGGGATCCTTATTCAGTGTCTGGCCTGTGTCTCCACTATCAGAAAGCAGAGACTCTGTGTATGACATTTGTTCTAGAACTTCTCGCAAAGATCAGACTTTCGTTTCTCTGAAGAGTAATAAGAAGAGGAAGGGCAGACTGGGAGGTCTACTAAAGTTCCATTTATTTAAATGAAGAAACTGATACCCCCCCCCACCCCAGGCAGTTCCTTGATAATTAACTTTCGTAGCAACACGAATTTTATGTTGATAGCCAGTACTTAACTAGTCCATGCATTAGAAAAATGATGACTGATCACCTTGTGTAACCGGATCTTACAAAAGGTGAGACATTTTGCCTAAAATGACAAAATCTCAGTCATTGCACTTTGAACCATACCACTGTTCTTTTAATGGAGAATACAGGCCCCGGAACCTGACTGGGTTAATATTTTGGTTTCACAGTGTTCTGTCTATGTTGACTTCTCTAGTTCAGCATTTCCTTCCATGTAGAGTGATAATGCTAGTTTGCCTTGGTGACTTAGCGGGCAAGGAGTTGTCCTGCCAACCCAAAGGCAGTTGGTTCAATACACCAGTTGCTCTAAGGAAGATCTAAGGAAGATGGAAGGACATTTTTCCCCTCTGCAGTTTACAGCCTCTGAAATTCCCCGGAGGGTCAGCTGTGAGTTAGTTCCAACTAGATGAAAATGCAAGAGTATAGGACCTTTTGCACAACAGAAAATGTTGCCCTGTCCTGTACCATACTCCTGATGTTTAATATATATGAGCCTGTGGTGTCACTGATGCCATTACGATGTATTTGCTTACACTCCCCATTATTACCAGTGACATATCAATGGATAGATTATTTTCTCCAAGTTGGTTTAACAGGTTTGGTGGTGGTTTTTTTTTTTTTTTTTTTTTAAATATGGGCCGTTTTTTGAATGTTATTTCTCTGCTTTAAACCAATATGCTATTTGAAATATTTTTACTTTGAAATTCTTTATTTCAGTTTGTACTACTGTTGTTTTACTGACATAGTAAGCTTAAAATACAAAGTGAAATCTTGGTTGAGATAAATTAGCTTATATATTTAAGGAGCAGAAAGTATATATAAAGTTACATAATTTAATAAGTAAAAGAGGTTAAACACTAAGAATTATTGTCTCAAATAGTTTTGTAAGCGTTATCTTATTTTTCTTCCACTCTTGATCTCAAACTTAAAGTAATACTGTGTTCTTTTTTAGCTACATGTGATAATCATGTTTTCCTGTGATATTTGTGGTGAAACAGTAAGTTCAGAATCAGACATGAAGACTCACCTTTTGATTGTTCATATGGAAAATGAAGTAGTCTGTCCATTTTGCAAGTTGTCAGGTGTGAATTATGATGAAATGTGTTTTCATATTGAAACTGCTCATTTAGAGCAGAATGAACTGGAAAGAAGCTTTGAGAGGATCAATACAATGCACTATGGCACTTCAGATAAGAAGGATGACACCCTACTTTGTCGAAAGGAAGTTAACGCAAGTCTTCTTTCAGCTTGTGCATCTAATGATCCGAAAAGTTCAGCTCAAGGCTTGAAAAAGGACGGTTCTTTAACACATCAAGGTTTTTATTCGGAGAACAGGAGTGCACCTAGAAAACTTTTGAAAAGTTCGGAAAGACTATCTGACCTACCCCAAATAACAGAATCAGTAGACACAACGTATAGTTCTCCTGAATGTCCATTCTGTGGGAAGAAGGAAATATGTGGTGAAGATATGGAAACTCACATGAGAACAAAGCATGCCAGTCTTTTAGATACGCCCTTTGAAGGTAAGGTATTACTTTTATAAGTAATAGGATAATGGAGTCCATCTTGTGTTTTGCTCACCTGAAGCCTGTACATCTTTGAGCGCTTTCCCAAACAATCCTCTGGAGAAAGATGACCCTCTCCTACTGTTAAAATTTATAGTTACAAATACCCAGTGGAGGGTTGGCATGAATCCTTAGCGATTTGAGTTAATTGATTGAGTGGCAGTGAAAGAGAGAGAATATGATGTCACAAAATGTGGCTTGTAAATCAGTTTACTAAGCAGGCTGTTCAAATATCAGCTGTTCTGAGGAAGAAAGACCAACAATCTCCTCCCATGTGTTACAGCCTCCAAAAACCCACTGGAATGTCAGTTGGAGTTGGTTCTGATTCAAGAGCAGTGAGTGAGTGTGTGAATGATGAATGTAGCCTAGTGGTAAGCTGTGCTGCAATCCTGATCTACATTCTGGAACAAATGTCTGTCTCTTCTGACATTTCTTTTAGTCTTTTATTATTCTTTGCTGTCTTTTAAAAAATTGGTTTTGATACATTAATTCATTTACATTGTGTTTCATTCATATACATTGTATTCCATACAATGCTTTATTTACATTTTGTTTCATATAACCATTTATATACACTGTATCCCATATAATTTCTTACCATTGATTTATACACCTTCTTTTTAAGTCCCAATTGAATCTTTCCCATTCCCTCCCTCTTCTCCAACATGAAGAAATGCTCAAAATTACTGGCAATCAAGGAATACTGTCAGGAGAGAACAGCATAGATGAATGAGGCCTTCTAAAAATTAAGTCTTTATGTGCTTCAAAATGTTTTTCCAGACTGTGGGGGAAGAAGCTGTGCTGTAGTCCTGAAGGCAAAGAATTCTAATCCAACAGCTGCTCACAGAAGAATGGGCGGTCTCCTCCTGTTTGATTAACTGCTTCTGGAAACCTGCCTGAAGGTCTACTGCATTCAGTTCTGATTTGAGAGTACATAGCAACAGTGTTACATGTTAGACTGAAAGGCCAGTAGTTCAAATCTACAAGTTGCCTACAATCTTAAAGCCTTAACAGCTTTGGAAACCCTAGGGAAGTTTGCTGTGAGTTAGAAGAGACTGGAATGCAGGGGTTTATAACACTGTTCATCTGCTATTATTGCAGTATGAAAATTCAGTAATGGAAAAGGCTGTAGCTGAAGATATCAAATGTTTCAACTATACTGATAGTAGTTTTGAAAATTTTCTGTGGAAAAATTTGCTTAGCTGTCCTATTTCTGTTAGTTTTAGGAGCCTTCAAGAAGAGTATGATTCAGTGTCCCTGGGAAGAGCAAACCAGAACCCTGCTTTACTCTGTGCTGTCCTTATAATCTCTGGCTCACATGAACCCATTGCTGCAGTCACTGTGTCACTCCACCACTTGGTCAAGGTCTTTCTCTCCTTCACTGGTTTCTAAGGGCTGTTTTATCATTTATGACAAGCCTATTAGCATCTAGTAGTCTTCACTCTGGCTTTCTGTTACTGATTTCTAGTTTGATTCCTATATGATTAGAAAACACATTCTGTATGTTGTTGTTGTTATGTGCTGTTGAGTCGCCTGCGACTCATAGCGACCCTATGTACAACAGCCCTAAACTCTGCTCTGTCCTGTGCCAATT